TATATATATATATATATATATATATATATATATATATTTGTCTTTCTTCATGATGATATGATGCTGTACTATTATTGTAAGTCATGGAAGATATAACGTATTTCATGATTATTCAAGTTTTTGTGTTTTGTAGTTTAAACTACTGTGTTTTAGTAATGTGTCGCACATTTGTGGGCGAAAGACAGCAGGTGAACAATGTCTTCTTGTGACTGAATCCGATTCAGAGCAGTCCGCTGATTCTCATTAGTACTGCAGTTTCTGTAGGCCTAACACTATACTGTATTCTCTGTCACAGAGAGTGAGGCTTGTTAATGTATAGGTCAAAAACAATAGATGTACTTGAGACTTTCCATCATTAGTTCAGTTCTTCTGTCAGAGTCAGCTCATTTCAGTTGGTGTGTCTTTTAGTTTAGCTAGTTATCAGAGTGTACTGTGCTCCTTCTGATATTTTGATTAGTCATTTGCCCTTTAATTATCAGAGTGAGATAGTGAAATGTTTTCAACAACTTTGTGCACATGAAATTGTGTGAATAATGAAGATTGAAGTATAAATCAAACGATCAGATTTAATTCATAAAAACATCAGTCTGTTTTTATTGGGCCCACGGCCTCCTTACTGGAGGCTCCTAAAACACGCTTTAATACTATTTATACATGTGTAATACAAGTAAGTGGATATGTCCCTGTTCAATTATACATGGTATTTCAAAGCAGAAGTTAAGCATACAGTAATGAATTATGATTATCTGACAATATTGTCCAGGTTCACAGCAATCTTTTTTTTTAGGGAAACATGCCTTGTTTAAAGTGGATTTTTTTCGGTGTGTATCAGTCATTTCAATCATCATTGTCTCTGTGTTGTTTGAGCAATGCATTGCCAACTGGTTCCATTAAGTTAATGATTTACCATCACTGAGTCAAGACAGCACTGTTTGACTTCAGCTAGATCAAATACTCTCAATTCACTCACCACCGCTGTGTATTTGTCAGTGCTGATGCCATTTCCACTGACAGAATATTCCTATTAATGAGGCTTGATATTCATTGATCATATAAAGAGGTGTTTTTGGCCCATGTACACGGTGGTATTTAGAAATTATGACTCAACATAATATGATGCATCCACTGATTCAGATCAATGTATCATATTTAATGGAGTAAGGGAACTGCATCTTTTTTCCAAAATTTTTTCTCTAAATGCCATACTTAACTTGATGTGAATGAAATATCTATATGACTGTACTTTTGTTCCTATTTGACTGAAATTCTATTCTATTCTATTGCTGTATTGAAATGAATGGTTCCTGTAGCATCATTGCATTTTATGTTAAAGAGATAGTTCACCCAAAAATGAAAATTCTGTCATTAATTACTCACCCTCATGTCGTTCCAAACCCGTATGACCTTTGTTCATTTTTGGAACACAAATTAAGATATTTTTGATAAAACCCGAGAGCTTTCTGACCCTGCATTGACAGCAATGCAACTGAAATGTTCTCAGGCCCAGAAAGGTAGTAAGGACATTGTTAAAATAGTCCATGTCACCATGTGACTATAGTCCAGTGGTTCAACTGTAATTTTATGAAGCTACGAGAATACTTTTTGTGTGCAAAGAAAACAAAAATAACAACTTTATTCAACAATTCTTCTCTTCCTTGTCAGCGTCCGCTGCCATTCACGAGAGTACCACGATGCATGTGTGCATTCCTGTGCATGTTCTATGTCAGCAGCACCACACGCATACATCGTGGCACTCATGAATGGCAGCAAACGCTGACAAGGAGGAGAAGAATAAGTCTTTTATTAAGAAGTGGAAGGTATTTGGTACAACACAGACCCTCCTTGGATCAGGACGTCACTCCAAACTGAAAGAAAGAGCCAGGAGGAAACTGGTCAGAGGCCGACAGCAACTCTGAAGCAGTTGCAAGAATTTATGACAAAGAGTGGTCATTGTGTGCATGTGACAACAATATCACAAATTCTCCACAATTGTGGCTTGTATGGAAGGGTTGCAAGAAAAAAGCCACTCCTCAAGAAAGGCCACATGCTGTCATGACTGAGCTTTGCCAAAACGCACCTTGAAGATTCTGAGGCCACATGGAAAGAGGTGTTATGGTCAGATGAGATCCTGTTATCGGGGTGTTTCTCTGCAGCAGAGACTGGATCACTTGTCAGGATATAAGGAAAAATGGATAAGGCAAAATACCATAAAATTCTTGAGGAAAATCTGCTGCCCTCTGCCAGAAAGTTAGGGCAAAATACAAGCAAATTCTCAAATATGCTTTCCTCTGCCAGAAAGTTGTCAATGGGAAGAAGGTTTACCTTCCAACATGACAATGACCCAAAGCACACAGCAAAACTGACCACACGGTGGTTGAAGGAGAAAAAGATGAATTTCCTTGCATGGCTTAGTCAGAGCCCAGACTTAAACCCCATTTGAAAATCTGTGGAATGACTTGAAGACTGCAGTCCACAAACACTTACCATCAAATTTAACTGAACTCGGGCAGTTCAGCAAAGAAGAGTGAACAAATATAACAAAGTCTAGATGTGTAAAGTTAGTAGAGACCGAGACATATCCCAACAGACTAAAGGCTGTAATTAAAGCAGAAGGTGGTTCAACAAAATACTGATGCAAGGGGGTGATGCTTTTCCCAACTCTTCCTTTTTATTGTTTAATTTGTTTCTGACATGTTGGTGTTATATCGTTCACTTTGATGTTATAAGTAAATGCAGCTGGATAAAAACAAAATATGTGCCCGTCTTCATTTCAGGCTGCAAAGCAAGAAAATGTGATTATTTTAAAGGGGGGTGATTCTTTTCTATACCCATTGTATATATAAAATGATAAAGTGCCCATAGTTGTGAGTTGATCTACCTATTATTTTTAATTAAACAAATACATTTATTAAAAAAGAATTATTTTCTTCAAGTCAAGACAGTCAAAAGCGCCCATAATTGAAGAAACACCCCAATATGAGTAGATCTCTCAAGTCTCCAAGTTAGACTAAGAGGACTCTGATAAGTATACTCCACGGATCAGGTATTTAAAAATGTGATGCAGAATGCAACTGCATCACCACCATATAAAACACAGATGGTACTAGGCAATCTGAAGAATGTCAGAAAAGCGGAACGGGTTCCTGAGATCTAAGCGATACAGATCATGTACAATTGACAATGATGTCACCCTCTGTGGTAGCCATGACAACGTGTTCTGGTTTCCCCAGCTGACACTCATAACAAAGAGAATCTCAGTGTGAGGACAGACCCAAAGTATATATATATATATATATATATATAGTTTTACTTTCTGTTCATCATCCTGAGAAATATTTCATAGTTTCCACAAAGATATTAAGCAGCATAACTGTTTTCCACATTGATAATAATAAGACATGTTTCTTGAGCACCAAATCAGCATATTAGAATGGTTTCTGAAGGGTCATGTGTCTCGAGTAATGATGCTGAAAATTCAACTTTGCCATCACAGGAATTTTCAAATAGAAAGCAGTTACTTTAAATTGTAATACTATACAATATTACTACTTTTACTGTATTTATAAATGCTTGTTTGGCTTAGTTTTAGTGAACTGCAACAAGCCTGCTAGATACATGCATAGACTGTTAAAAACAAACAGACAAAAAAGGATGAATGCACTTTTAAACCTTTTTCTTAATCATTTTTAAAGATTTTGTAATAACTCAACTCCTGAGTAATACATTTTGTAAGTTTAAGAAGATGAGATAACCAAAGGTGCACTTGATGTCATATGTCTTAAACATGTTGTATAACTTATTTTTGCATTGCTCTGTCCCAGGTAGCCCCCTCATCTGCAGTGTGCAGATGAATTACGAGCAGCCTCCCCCCTACACAGGGCCTGGCCCCACCGCTCCAGGATACCCCCCTCCCTCCGCTCCCGGATACCCTCCTCAGGGATTCCCTGCACAGCCGTACCAAGGATATCCAGTCAATACTGACCAGCCCAACCCTGGTTACCCAAACTACCCTCCTGGACCCCCTGGGTCATACCCGGTCCAGCCAGGTTAGTAGAGACCGAGACATATCCCAACAGACTAAAGGCTGTAATTAAAGCAGAAGGTGGTTCAACAAAATACTGATGCAAGGGGGTGATGCTTTTCCCAACTCTTCCTTTTTATTGTTTAATTTGTTTCTGACATGTTGGTGTTATATCGTTCACTTTGATGTTATAAGTAAATGCAGCTGGATAAAAACAAAATATGTGCCCGTCTTCATTTCAGGCTGCAAAGCAAGAAAATGTGATTATTTTAAAGGGGGTGCAGATGAATTACGAGCAGCCTCCCCCCTACACAGGGCCTGGCCCCACCGCTCCAGGATACCCCCCTCCCTCCGCTCCCGGATACCCTCCTCAGGGATTCCCTGCACAGCCGTACCAAGGATATCCAGTCAATACTGACCAGCCCAACCCTGGTTACCCAAACTACCCTCCTGGACCCCCTGGGTCATACCCGGTCCAGCCAGGATACCAGGGGTACCCACAACCACAGTATGGAGGCCCAGTGTATGGGGAACCTCCTAAAAACACTGGTAAGATCCTTGATTTCCTGTAACATTGAACACATTTTCATTTACATATTAATTGGGTTAGTTTCACTCTTAACTTCCTCATAAACATCCTCATTTGTAACAGTGAGGTCAATGGATTTACACCAAACACAGCTAGTACAGTTAGTGGAAATGTTTGTTGCTCATAGTTTCTGCAACAGTCATGTAATAATTTCACTTGTACAGTACGTACATCATTTTTCTTGGTGTTGTTCATTTTATCGAGTTTATAGGAGTTAACACAAGTCAGAAGATTACAGTATTTCTAGCTGTTTAAATTACATATTTATATATTTAAGTTTCTGTGACCTGCTTGGTTTTTAAATGATGTGTTAATTCTGAATAAATATTCAGCTAGATTTTAATTAGGTGTAAATTAAATGTCTAATGGACTCAAGGTTATTTTCGTAAATGAAAACGAAAACTAAGACTAAAACGATTGATGAAAAAACTATTTTGTAAACTGAAAAAAATAAAAATGTCAAAATAATTGAAAAACTAAAATGAAACGAAACTAACAACAGTTATTGAAAAACTAACTGAAATAAAATAATAATTATCAAAAATAAATAATCGTTTTCGTAATCATTACGTTCTCACCCCTTGGCGGAAAAATATAGGAGCTGTGTGGAGGTTTAGGGAAATAGCCTACCTGTAATTGCGAATCACACACATGGGGTTATCTGATGGAGAGACGCAAATCTTGCAGGGCTCCTGTTTGGTAAACGTGCACCAGCAGTAGGCTACTCAACAGAACACCCGAGTGACCCGACCCATTATCTGACAGCAGCACTAATTTAATTCTGTACCAGACCAGAACCGTTTTAACATAAAGACCGAACCGCACTCGCATTAAATTTATTTTATCAGGTAAGCAAGATTATTTATTTTATCATGTAACACAAGCACTCAAACCAACATTCGGCATTCTAAGTTGGTGCTTTGAAGAAAAAGACATGATATTTAACAGAAAAAAAGATGAGAACGTGCATCCTTTCTGTAAACAACACAAAACTTTTGCCTAGCATCTTGTGATCACTCTGCCAGGCTTTTGAACAAATGTGCATTGGCTAAATCACATCATACACACGCTTATAATTCTTCATAAATTAAAAGAACATTAAAATATAAGCCTTTACTGTTAAATGCGATTGCCGTTATTATT